ATCTTCACATCAGACCACAGGTCTTGTACCCCCCGAGGGCGTGGTGAAAACTCCCACAACCCTGGGCCCCTGGGTTCCTATCTGCATTTCCATTCTACCAAACCAGCATGATCAGCCAGTGTAGTTAGAAGGCCTGTTGCCTTCGCATTAGAGATGGATAGTCGGCACCTGTTGCGGAGGACATACCTTCCGTTCAGGGAGGTACATCTACCTCATTGACCGGAAGGCTTTCCTTCCGGTCGATGAGGTACATGTACCTCATTGACCAGAAGGAAACCCTTCCAATCGATGAGGTACATCTACCTCATCGACCGGAAGGAAACCCTTCCGGTCAACCTGGCCGGGGCGCTGGGGTTCCCCCCAGCCTCAAGGCCATTTCATTTCATTTATTTCCTTTTTTATTTTATTTTATTTTCTTTGTTCTTTTTATTTTAATTTTTTTTCTTGCTTTTTTTTCTTTTTCTTCCTCTTTTTTCTTCTTCTTTTTTTTATCTCTTTTTTCTTTTTATCTCTTTTTCTTTTTCTTTTTTTTTCCTTTTTCTTTTTCCTTTTTCCTTTTTTTTCTCTTTTCTTTTCTTTTTTTTTTTCAGCAATTACAAACAATTTTTTTTGAAATTCTTTTCAATTCTTTTTGACTGTATTTTTTTCATGTTTTTAAATTACAATGATAGTCACAAAAAATCCCCCCAGAAAAACTCAAACAAGATGCAAAAGGATTGTAATGAACCTTGCAGTCAAACTAAGTGAGGAAGAGAGAGGAGGTACCCGTGGTACCTGCCAAAAGTACCGCCAGTACCCGCCAGGAGGTGCCTGGTGCGGTACTTGGTACCTATTTTCTGAAAAAATTCAACAGGTACCTAGGTACCAACAGGTACCCGAGTACAAACGAACGATCTCTACTTGGCATCACCGAGCCTGACAAAAGTTTGGAAACCTAGAATTTTGTGTATTGGATGCTTAAATAGTCACTCATGTTTTCATGTTGTTTTTCTCTTTTTCTCATCTGATTTTTCTAGCTTTCATTATCTGTGTCTCACTCGCCCTTCACTTCATTTCATCCGCTATTGCCACAGGTTTGCTTTTCTTCTCTCTTGCTGTTAGTCCACAAGGTTGTGTCCTAACATTCAGGTTTGGAAACCTTCAAATTTCAGGTTCTTTAGGTTATGAGCCCAGAGGTGCTTTAACTGTCATCCCACTTTAACCAAAGCCAAAATACAACCAACCATCATGAACAACAAGACTTTGAATCCCACTATTCCAACTCTGTCTCAGGATGCAAGTGGGTCGGGTTCGGGTCGAAAAACAGTGACCAAACCCGCCCCGCCAAATCCTCGGGGCGGGGCGGGTTGGGGCAAAAACTGTAAAATGTTGACCAAACCCGGCCCAAATACACAGTGCCTTGGGTCGGGTCGGGTTGGGTCTTGGGTTGGGTCCGGGTCAACCCAGCAAAAATCACTTTCTTTTTAATCAAGTACATAATTCGGTCAATCTCAAGCCGACCCGAATGCATTCCGTCCTGACCATACCCGCCTCACCGACCTGTCGGGTTAAATCTGGGCCGGGTCAATTTACAATCCTAGCCTGCCCAAACCCGCCCCGTGAACCGCCGGGTTGCGGGTACCCGGCGGGTCGACCCGACCCACTTGCATCCTGAACGTCGCTGTCCAACCTCAATTGGGACCTTTGGAGTATGCTGATCAAAGGCTAAATGAAGCAGCACAACCTGTACTCTTTCCTTTTGAGTACAGAGACCAAACCTGCTGATCCGACCAAACTCAAATCCTTCACAACTCAACAAATGAAGGCTTCTGGTGTTCTCCAGAATACATGGGAATCACCAACTATCAGAAGTTCAAAACCAAGGACACCAAGGACAAACCTAGAGAAATGTGGCTGAAGCTTGAAGGGCCCTATCAGTCAAAGGCCATTGCTAATCAAGCAAAGGTTTACAACAACTTTCTGGCACTTAAATTTGAAGGAAGTGATATTGAATCATTCATTGTTGATTTAACGGCTCACATCAGTCGTCTCAATGTGGTTGGACTAAGAATAGGTATTCCTACCAACTTTGATATCCACAAGAATCTGTTTTGTGAAAATTTCCTGGAGAAGATCCCTTCTGGACTAATTCATACTCATGAAGTTCTCATTCAAGGAAGACCACTCACAATTGACAAACTTCAACAACTTCTTGAAAATCAAAGACTTGATGTGTCAGCCTCTGGGTAACTAACCTGAGTGTTTAGTAGTAAAAAGGTTGTTACTATGAGTTGACTGAAGTGTTTGAGCATGGTGATTGTGAGGTAGTGGGTGATTAATACCAGTCCTGTAATGAGGAGGTTTCACTCTATCAGTATGGTCTTTACTGAGAGGCTTGCTATGAACAGCGCATCCGGATCAATACAAGGTATTCATAGGCATCCAGGGTACTAAGACTCACCTGGGATTGATTTGGTTATTCCCTAAAGGGAATGGGCTAACAATACTTATTAAGCTTTAACAAAATTAGTTGAAGATTAACAGGTATTGTTGATGGGAATATTCCGCAAGGCTATGAATATGGTGGATAAGTTGAGTTGGTTATGTGTACCGTATCAATATAAATTTTAACTGGTTTAACTGGTGTCTGAATATTCTGGGGATTAATCAATGGAAGTGGCACGGATTATAAGTTCCAGAATATTACATGAGGAAATGAAGAAGTGCTCTGAGTCACGGGTGAAAGTACCAAGGGAAAGAGCAGAGTTAATTCAGTAACTGATCTTTATTTGTAATGATCTGTTAGAGCTGTCATAGTATTTACTAGAGGATCAGTAGCTAGTATTTGTGACGTGTACAGCCTAACAGATCCTTCAACTTAAAATAACAAATAAGGATCAGTACATGTATTGATTGTGTTAATTCAATTGTTCATGCCAAACAATACATGAATATTTTATTTGTAATGATTCTTGTCCGTGATGACTTGGGGGACAAGGACAATTAATGATGAAGTCATTATCAAGATCACACAATAAATAATGAGGTCATTATTAAAGTCAGTACATGTATTGTGTCAGCTTGCTACTATGGCAGAGACAACCTGTCATAGCAAAATAAAATAATAAATAAAATTACACAAAAATCTAAGAATAAAGTAAAAATATTACATAAGTAAAAGAAACTAATTTACTTATGTAAATAACATAAAAACACTTAAAAATATATAAATAACTTAGAAATAGTAGAGAAAACCTTAATTATTATTACAAATTCTGAATCTACGTACAATTTAACCTAGGGTACCTCAGCCAAAGGTACCCCTAATTATAACTCCTTCATCATGTAATACTCACTTGAAGAATTAACAGGTACCCATGGATCACGGGCACCTGAATAATTATGCACTATACATTACAATATGCATATACTCCAAATCTTGTCTCAGATTTGGAGTGTTGTGTATAGTTTGGAAGATAGACCAGAGTGGCGTGTACTGTCTCCAAGCCCGCGCGCCGCGTAGTCATGCTGCGCACTGTTGACAGGCGCGCCTGACTACAATTGAGCCCAAGGCTCAAGCCCCCGCGCGTGCTAGGTATGCCTACCCGCCTTGGATACATGCATAACCCCCTTTGGGTTACCAGTATCCAAGAAAAGGGCCACAAAGCGCCACAGAATCCTCACTACACGTGACAACAAAGCCTCCACACGTGTAATAAATATATAAACAAGCTAAAATATGCATGAAAATACTACAGTAACCTAGAACATTCTATATTCCAAGTGGCAACACGTGTAGCAAGCCTCAGAAACCACCTCTTGGATATTCTGTGGCCCATTTCCAAGGAAATAGCTCCACGTAACAGACTAGCCCCTACCCACAGGCTCCTCAAGGATATTCTTGGTTCACATAAATTCGTGCATGGCCCCTTGGAGCTTCTAGAATATTATCCCCAAGGTTTCAGCCCTTGTTGCGTCACCATGTGGGCTAAAATGGGCCCAAAAGCGCTCCCAAGACCTACTAAGCTCCCCTGAGCAACCCCTGAGGCCTTCCACAGGTATTTAAAGGGCCTTCTGACCGCCCAAATAATGATCCCCCAGCTTTACAATACCATATAGAAACATACTTACCATTTACAAGTCCCCTACACTTGTAATTAGCCTAGTTATTACTATTATTGCTGTTATTAAAGCCTCAAAATTCCTCAAGAAACTCAACAGTTATCACCCAGCACCCAAAATCAACCTTTCTGAGCGCTCCCAACTGTCCAGTTTCCACATTGAAGATCCTCAAGACCCCATAGGATTATTACTAGTAAGTAATAACCCTTTTCTTGAGATTTTCCCCTTAAATTCTTCCTGGGATTTAAACCACACCTGTTCACAGGCCCCAGTGTTCCAGGTACCTAAATCCTCTGCTTTTTGCACGATACCTTAGAGGGATTAAACCACCCCTGATTTATCAGGCCCCTCTGGTTTTATTTATATTAATTTTATTAATATAAATTGGCCACTTTTTGGATTTAATCCATAAATTTCACGTAATTCTTCTGAATTACTTATACCAGTTTTGTCCCTGAGTTTTTACCATAAAAACTCTTAGTATTTGCACCTTGTGTAGCTAGAAGACACTTGTCTTGGCATCACATAGGCTGACATATTGATTGTATTCATTCAATGATTAATTGATACTTAACATTCAAAGTATGTACATATTTCCTTATACAGTTATTTGACCGTGAAAATACTGTAGAACAGGGATAACTTTTGTTACAGGTATTTCATGGTTAAAGGAGTGAAAGGTAAGTGATAATTACGTATGTATGAAGCATGTATGTATTTAATAGATAAGTAATTAATCAGATAAGATAAAGTAAGATAAGATAAGTTAGAGATAATGATAAGATAACAAGAGGTAAAGGTATCAACGTTGCAGTTACTTGGTACATGAAAGGTACTGTGACATGTACTCTGTGGCTGACACCTCTAAGCTCTGTTCTGGTTGCTCAGCAGTTCCACACCAAACTCTTCTCAGACCAGCACAGCAGTTTTTCTAGTGTTCACAACAACTCAAAAGTAGATCAGTGAGTTTGTTGAATGATAATCATCAATTGAAAAGAAAATTTTGAAAAAAAAAATGCTAGCTTTTGTGCAAGCCTTTGAGGTGACTGATGATGGAGCAAGAAGAACAGCTCGGTTGAGGTAATTTGAATTATGAAATGGGTATCCAGCAATTAAATTGATGGTGGTTTTTTGTGAGAACCCTCAACTTGAGAAATACATTCCTACACATGATCATACATACCTCTGTTTTGAGAAAGCTTGCTGCTTGGGAGCCAGACTGTTTTATTTTATTTATTTTTTAGAGGCAGATACAGCCCTGTATATCAACTGGATATCTTCCAATTCTTTGTTTTCTTCTGTAAACAAAGAATTGGAAGTTATCCAGCCCAAATACAGGGCTGTATTCAGCCCTTAAAAAATAAAAAATAAAAAAATTTGGGCTTGCAAACCACAACCTTTCTTGTACTGGCTGTACATCCCTTGCAAAAATGTGCCCTGCCACTCCAAAAACACATTCATCTTCTTGGACTGTACACACATGTACTTCTGACAAAGTGCAATACACTGTATATGCCAATACAATACACGTATAGGACTTGTTGCACCGTTGATTCTTCCAAAATCTTTGATCATAGGATGTGACTATAAGTTCTTTTGCAAACTTGTTGGTGTATTCTCCAAAGATGCTCATCTTAGCTCATATCATGAATGTTGTGTATTGGTATGTTTGCATTCTCCACCTAACTGTCAAAATTTATTCCTGGCATGATAGGGATGCTATTTTTCTTGATTTCACAGATTACCTGGCTTTTGTGGGTGCATCTATTCATCTTTTCTACTTGATTTTCAATTTGGAAACAATTTTTTTATAGGAGTTAGGGATGGTAATTAAGCCAGCTGGGTCAGCTGCCTGGACCAGTTTGGGCTGGCTTTCTGGGGAATTGTTTGTATCTTGGCCTGTGCATTGGGCAAGGGCTTGTTAGTTTTGGTGAGCTTGCCATTGGGTGACCAACAAGCCCAGTACCCCTAGTTTCCACCCTGGTATGGATCCAAAGAGGTGGGGAACCTTAAAAACTCAAAATTCTAAGATAGTATTATTAGAATGGAAAAAAATTAGAAAAAGAGAATAACAAGAATTTTAATCATAAGGAGATGTACTTAAGAGCAAGAGCTTGGATGATCACAATGGGAAAATAATGAAATAGATGAAATTAAGATTTTTGGGGGATGACAAATAAGATAGTATTGTTCTGATCTTCTTTATCACTTGGGTTTTCCTCGTCTGGAGTATTTGCTTGATGAGCCTGGTCCTCAAAACCATCAAACAATAGTATTGGACTGGTTATTCATATGGTTAGAAATTGAAAATGGGTACAATAAAATAAAATTGGAGGCCAAAACTGTACTGAACAGTCATCAAGCTCCTATGATCAATTTTTGTTTTAGAATTAGATTTGATGTGTATATTTGTCAGCTTGCACAGTACCAGAACTTTTTTTCATTTTTTTGTAAATAGCCTGGTAAGGTGCCAATTGAAAGAGACATCACTTACAATCATCAAAATAATTGATATCAAATTATGATAAATCCTTTTATAGATCCACCCTTCATAAAAATTAAACCATACCTTCACTCCTTGCTAGCTCTTCAAACCGGATAAAAGATAGCAGAATTAATTTAAAAAAATGCTTAATTGAAATGGTATAGCATGAAGGTAAGATTGGTTGAGATGACAGAAGTGATGGACAGAAACAACAACAAATTCGCTATGAGCGATGCTATATGGTTTGTTGAGGGACAATCTTGCTTCTGTCACCGACGGAGTTAATTTTGACGACCAAATCATCCCACATGGTGAATTTGGGATATGGTAGAGAAATTGGTTGGTCTGGAAAGACCGTGGCAGCAAACGAAAACTCTTTTGCACCCAACTTTTTTACTTCAATGGTGACGGGAGCTGTGCTTCTAGCTCCAATATACCAATATCCTCCCGATGGTGATACTGCAAGCAACGTTCTCCACCATGATGTTAGCGTTACTCCTAGTTCCGAAGTCTCATAGGCCTTTGGAATTGTAAATTGCTTCGGGAACTGGATTTCAGTCAACAGTTCAATTTTCGGGGTCAGTATTCAGCTGTGACTCATGATTAAGCGGTCGACAACTCACAGAAATATAATCAGCTGTTGATTTTAAGGACCCGTTGAGATTTACACTCATAACTTGCGGTACCGTTAGGAAGATGATAAAGATTAAGAGACTAGAGGAGTAGAGCAGGTTTTTCATGGCGGAAATCTACTCAGATTGCCACAAAAAAAGCCAAAAAATACTTTTTTTGATGATAGTCAGCTATTGAGCACGCGAAGACTTTGAAAAAGGCAATGCTAAATTTCACGAAATTTGTTAGCTGACTGATTGTAGAGCGAGGAGAATGTGTCGGTTGAGTTAACTTGAATTATGAGCAGGGTAAGAGATTTTGGAAGGCGCCCATGAATTGAGAATCCATTATTTTGTGCCTGCATGTAACACATCGGCATGCCTTCCAAATACTGCCCTACCCCTAGAGAAAAAAAAACACTGTTTGACTTCTTGGATTGTACGTGTGTATCACGTATGATGCGACCTGTCGCAGTTCTGGCCATGGGCGGGTCGGGTCTGCTCTAGCTCTTGAAACAACAAGCGAACGTCTGAAACATCGAACAGAAGTAATGGCAGACAAACGCACCACCGGCCCAGTTACTTGAAAACTGATTGGTCTATCAATTTTCTAAGAAACCCAGAAAAAGAACTTCACAACATTTTCAAAACGGTTTCAAAAGTCTCATTATAACTACTGCTCAAGTCCACTAAGAACTGGATAAACTATGATTATAACTCTAGAGCTATGCTGGAACATTATGCAGTATCCCCTAGAATGATTTTGAAAAGTTATGAGAAATTATTCCAAGAAAGACTTTCAATAGATAAACCAGATGGAAGAATGAATGAGGAAATTTCCTATTGCACATTCTATCCACCCCAATTTAAAATGTAATTTCTTTTTTTTTCCTGAATTTTGAATAAATTAAAGCTTGTAATGTTCAAGATCCCAAAAACAAATGG